CTTACTTTACTCAGCTCAAAATTAGCAACATCTTTCTTGGTGTTGAAATTTTATTTTTCATCAGTGTTGTTAGAACACTGATAAAAACAAAATCTTTAAAAAACGTTTCTGCTTGGAAAGCTTGTAACATATTGGAAATTAAAAACCAATAGAGAAATAATCTCCAGCTCAAAACACTATATTCAAAATTGGCTCAACAGCAAAAAAAAAAAAAAAAAAAAAAAAAAAAAAATTCAGTCAATGAAAAGCTTTAAAAAGAAATTAAATAAATACATCTATATGAGCCACTTTTATAGAAGCTGATCTTAGAATAATATTTAGTGGCATAGCTAAACACAGATTGTCTAGTTAAATGTGCTGTTTTGCCTGAGCCTAAGAACTCCCCTTGTCACCACAGCAATGAGAAATCTTATATCAAAGGAAAACACTTTAAATCATAGCTAATAACAGTAGCTGTGCCCTTCTGATTTTTATTATTTTCAAATCATTTCAATTCCTATTTTGAAATGTATCTGAATTCAGGAACAAGTCGAATTAATACAAAAAAATCTATTTTCTTCCTTAGACACAAAAGAAAGGAACATTAAAAAAGAAACTTTCATAAATTCCTTTTTATTTTCAACTATTTAAACATTATTTTTTATTAAGGCTCTGGCATATAAACTTCAAAAAATTAATCATTTCAAGAAAACTATTATAAAATCAGCTGAATGATAAACAAAAATTTACTGTAAAGTTATCAGGATGTTATCAGTTAAAAGAAAATATCTGGCACCTACAAGAGTCACCCAAAATTAAATTATTTACAACACAGCATGGTTCAATGGCAATAATTCTAAAGTTCTCAGATGTCATACAGACATCCTATATAAAATATCAATGTCTATAGATTAATGATATAAAAATAACATTTTACGCAAATATTTTCCAACAATTTTATCCTACATCAATGCACTTAATTCAATGGTAAATATTCGCCACAGAAAATGAGCATTATACAGTGAAAATTTTACATAAACATTCTACTAATAATTACTGGATACAGAGTTACTTTTTGTATATATTGTTGTAATATACCAATGGAAGATAATGGGTATGTCCCCATTCATGTAAATACTGTATGTTGGTTTGCAGTTGGAGATTCATTGTGGAATTCACTTGACTCACTTCTAGCTGTTAACTACTCCTTCTATGCACTGCTCGTGAATCTTATAGGTGTTCTTGTCTTAAGTATTATCATTCATTAGCAATCTTCATTTGATTATTCTATTCAGTAACCTTCCCTAGGTTGCAACATATATCAACATTAAAAAAATTATTAAATTGTCAGAAAAAGTAATTTTGAAAAATTCAGCAAAAAGAAAAATAGTCTGAAATGTAATTCAAATTGATAGAGATTAATACACACATGCGAATGTACAGAAATTTTTTTTTAATCAATTCAGCCCAAGCAAGGCAATAATGCCACTTAGGTGCAAGGGGCTACTGGGAGTAAATGAGAATGATAAGACTTGAGAAGGAACCGGAAACGAAAGATGAACCTCTACTCTTGTTCAAAAGCCCAGGGAGGCATATGAAGCAGACAGTAGGGCAATCTATCTAGTCCTATTGAGTTTCAAAGTTTAAATAGAGACATTAGAAGTATAGAGTTGAAGTAGAATCTAATAGGAACCGGAAACCCAATCCTAAACAGAAACAAGGGATAAACCTCTACTCCTGTTCAAAAGAACAGTGTAAAGCTATCTATTCCTTTTGAGTTCCAGAGTTTAGAGTATAGTGTTGAAGTCTCAAGTCCAAAACAAAAGCAATGGAGGCACTGATCAGAGACATGCTGTTTGTGGATGATGTGCTACAAATCATCCCCATTGATGACTACAAGCTGGAAGTTGTGAACCAGATCACATACTTCGGGTCTACAATCAGCAGTGACATCATCTTGGGCACAAAAATAGACAAGAACATTGGGAAAGCAGCAACCACATTTGCTCACCTCACCATGCAAGTGTGGGAGAACTCCTAGCTCTTGATCAAGACAAAGATGGCAGTTTGTGATGCCTGTATCATAAGCACACTTCTCTATGGGAGCAAGACATGGATGACATATGTCAAGCAGGAGAAGAAACTGAACACTTTTCACTTGAAGTGTAACTGCCACATCCTTGGCATATCATGGAAGGACAATGTGCCCAACACTGAAGTTCTGTCTCTCACCAGCCTAACCACCATGTTCACTCTGCTCAGATGGTGCAGGATCCAATGGCTGGGTCATGTTCACTGTATGGAGGATAACAAATTCCCAAAGACATCTTCTATGGGGAACTTGCAAATGGCAAATGAGACACTGGTCACCGTCGGAGATGTGTGTAAAGGGGGCATGAAGGCCCCTGAGATCAATAGTGATCACTGGGGGGACCTTGCTGCTGACCATTCTGGGTGGAGAAGCACTCTGACTAGACAACTCATGTCAGGAGAAGAGAAACTGAACAATGTAGCAGAAGACAAGCGGACATGCAAAAAAGAATGTCGCAGCATAGACAACACACAGACAATTCACAGGTGTGACAGAGATTGTCACTTGTGCATCTACCTGTTCTGTCACAGGTGGCAATGTTCCAGTGAAGTAGATGGGTGGGGTCAAATCTATGGTCATTGATAACTGGTGGAGAACATAAAGAAGAGTTCAAGTAGGCTTTAGAGGGAAATCCAAACCTAAACAGGAAACAATGACTAAGCTTCTACTCATGTTCAAAAGACTGGGGAGGAATGTGAACCAAATGATAAAACATTATTTTATAATGTGTTATGTTAGTTATGCTGTCTCAAAATATCTCTTGACAATGTCTAAAGAATAGCAATCTCCTTTTACTTCTTTTGTTAACCTTTTATTGTCTTGATAGCATGCATCTGACATGCATAGTGAAAATATTAACTGACATTTAGAGCATTATCATGATTATAAAAAATAAATTACAAATATTATTTTTGGAGTGCTCTAATGATGATAATATATCCTTTATATATCCTTTTCAGTTTTTATTCAACTTTTGCAATCACAACATCTGGTAGAGTATAAGGGATGCAAACTTAAGTTGCTTCATCTCATTTTCTTCTAGTTTTAAAGTTGTTTTTCTATTTTTAGTATTTTAATATGGCATAGCTTACTATAGAAATTCCAATTCTAAGTTGTAACAACTGTTCTGAAGTCAAATTGCTCTATGGACCATTAAAATATTACCATGGCTCCCCTATTTGTTATTTTTTTTTTGCATGTACCCCCAGTAATATTATATGGACCAAGGTTGAGAACAACTGATCTATCATAATATGAAAAAGATTTTTAAAAATATGATTATTTTTGGTTGCCGTGTCTGATGTACAACTCTACTGATTTATCTTTTCATTGTGAACAGTTCTATAATTTTAAATGTTCATAGAAATATGAACATGTGTTTGATATAGAAAGATTGTGGGATTACCCCCACTTGGCTTTGCCAGGTTTATCAAGATGCCATTAGGTGGCACTGTTAAATAGACATGAAAATGAGACACTTCTTGTTTATTCTTTTTTTTTCTCTTTTTCTTTTTTTTTTTCAGGATGTGGCAGTAGCAACTCCAACATGAGACACATTCCCAGCATAAGGATATCTTTCTTTTGAGTGACTAAACAATTTTTAAGAGATAGATTTTAATAAAAACACATCACCTTGTTGAATTTTATTCCATTTCCTTTCATCTGTACAAGTATTGATAACCTGTCATTACATGTGTACATTTTGTTTGCCACTGCTTTTGGTCCAACTAGAAGCCTATATTATTCCACAAGATTAACTATTTTAGTAAATCAGTTTGCATTTGAAAAATAAGTATAATCAAAGGATTTTAAATTTATTGCAACTAACAACAAGTGTTTGAAAATGCTCTTATTATACCCCATGGTATGTGTTTACTACTACTTTTTTTAAAACTATTATCTGACCTCCACAAATACAGATATTCATGATTTTAACATTAAATTGTTATAAAATAATAAATATATATATATATATAGCAAGAGAATGATCACTTATGTATATATTTTGAAACAAAGAGTGTCAATAAAATCTTATCTATAAAATATTTTGAAAAATTAAGGACTAGAAAATTGAATGAAACATATTTGGAATAATTAAATTTAAGATTTAAATTGAAAGGATTTGATGAGAGAAAAATCTGTCATGGCAGTAACTAACTTAAGTGTCAACATTTTTCTTTTCACAACAATTGGCTCCAATCACAAACCATTGCTATTTGGCCTCTAGAGTAAACCAGACAGACGAACCGAGAAAGACAACTGATAGACAAACAACAGCAACTGAAATCAAAACAATCCACATTATGAAAGAGAGAAAAGGAATGAGAATGAAAGCTTATATATATATATGTGTGTGTGTGTGTGTGTGTGTATATGTATATATATATATATATAAAGATATAGAGAGAAAAGAGTGTGGAGAGGTAGAATAGGTGGAGAAGGAAACAAAGAGTGAGGGGGAAGAAAAAAAATGTTTGCATTATTTTTGCAAAGTAAAAGAATGCAAGCCAACCGGAGCCATTGATTTGAAAAAGAGAGAATGGATGCTATCTGCTGAGCTCTCCAGTTAAAGCAAAGAAAAACTGAGTGGCATTATTATTATTGTTTGTACCCAGAGTAGCATTAACCACTAACTGATGTCTGTAGTAACCGGAAATACGCAATACAATGGCCACCGTGAAAATCAATGCAAGCGAGCAGCATTGTACATTGGTCGTCATCGTCGTAGTGGTCCAGCAAAGTGATTAGGGGAAGTATGGGTGAGTAAGAGTGAGGACAACGCCGCTGTCATTAAAAATGCACGTAGTTAGTGATTATTATGGTCAATATTGAATTGTTGCCCGGACCAATTTTCCAGAAAAGGACTAAGCAAAGCTTTGATAAATAGAGCTTACCAAACGGCGAACAATCTTCACTAATTAATGGTGACGTATTTGAAAACTGCATCCGACGGTCGAGGCACAGCCAAGTCAGAGTGGGCACTGATGACGGGCCAGGTGGGTGTGCAGGATTTGATGGGGGACAAGGATGAGAATAGAGTGGTAGTGGATGGAACGGTCGATTGATGATTGGACCAAAGAGAAGTAAGATATAGAAAAAGCGCGTTGTGTTCTCTTCTTCTTTCTTGGAAAGCTAATAGTAATACCAAGACCGTTCTTGGAATGGACGAGTATTCATCTGCTGAAGACAAGCAAAATGCTGCACAATAGTCTTTAAGTGCCAGGACATATACTTTCGGGCGGTTTAATTATACCCGGGACAATACCTCCCACATATTTGCTTGGGAGGTTTTCTTATTCGCCAGGGAGTGGAGCAGAGTGGCAAATGCCGACTAAGCCGACAGATCAGAGCCAGTAAGTTTTCCTACTGTCTGATTGAAGACAAATAACTTGAACAGAGCGGTTATCAAATGGTCATCTTTAAGGGCTGCTGGTCTGTTATTTCTTTTTGGTTTTCAAGCAAGAATACACACCGTTATTCAACAGAGGACAGTAGATAAGAGAGTTAGACACGAAAAGTAGAAAAGAAATTGTATGAAAAGTTAATTTGGAAATGGTGGGAGGTTGAAATGAAAGGTGATGGGTTTAAAGCATATTATGCTATGTATGTGGAGATGGATACAGCTAACAATTTTCCGAGTTCTGTCAATTATGGCTGTATTGAAGACATACACGTGCACACGTCATTTGATGTTTAAACTGTCATAAGAAATTTCATGAGTGAATGATCCAGGTCTATATTATTTTCACATTAATCGACCAGGACCAACAGGTACTCAAAAATAAAGAAGGAAAAACTGATCACTGTAGGAAACTGTCAGCATATTGGTCATTTCAGACAACTAAGTATTATTGTACGCCATTCTGACCCCAACTCAACTAACAAGGCATAAAATATTAAATCGCATAGAGATGGACAAGGTTGACTTGTGGGACTGGTGGTAGAGAGGGACAATATATGGTGTTGAGGTCAATTTATCCACACCACCAGACTCCATAACCTCATATGAGAAATATCATGGAGCCAGTTCTTTTTTTTTTCTTTCAAAATTCCGTCAAGCAAAAATTGAGACTTTTAGCTACAAAGATAAGTCATTAGATTCGGGTTTTCTGCACAGAGGAACAAACTTACATTATGTTATTTCAATAATAAAAATGAATGGTGGTAAGGTATTAAATAAAACAACTTGTGCTAATAAGTATCTTGTGGCTAGAGCCAGTGAAGAGGCGCCAGTGTGGTCAGCTTTCTGAGTTTCATATCAATAGCTTTATGATTAGGTGACCTTAATCTGGCACTATGCCCATAATAAATCTAAAAATCTTGGAAAAAATGGGTTAATAGCAGCTGTTGTTTTTGCAAAGCAACTGACCAAAATATTCATATTTAATGCTCAAAAAAAAAACTTCTGAACTCATCTAAAAGAATTTATTCAAGGAAATCTAAGAGAAATTAGTTGGTTTACTTTTTAGGATTTTATTTCTTATATGTAGCAAATTCCTGTGGTATGGAGACAGTTTGCAGGGCATTGTTGCTTATTGTTAGATACCAAAAAAATGTGAAGTTCTCCTGGGGTTGGTTTATTCAAATATTTAATTACTGTGCTAGTTTTTAAAACATACAATAGAAAACTTTGTTTGTTAGCTAATGTACATCATTGAAATTAAAATACATGAAGGCCTATATAAAATGCCTATATAATTGCTGAAAGTCTCCATAAGTAGGTTCATATAAGAATGCTAAGTTTGGATGTTCTTTAAGGATTGAAAATGGACAATGATTATTGATTATTAGGATGGCTCCTGGAGTTAGTATGTTGTATGATGAACAAAAAATACAGAAGCAAAACAAGAAAAACAAACAATTATCATTGGCCCAAAACTTCACCTAAGACAGGAATGGAACTTGGTATTAAGAAGTGAAAAAGAAAGAAAGAGAAACAGTGAGAGGATCCGAATTACTCATCCAGGAAATCATCAGCAATAAAACCTACACATACCTATAGTGCAAGTAGATGCTATCAAAGAGAAAGAAATGAATGAAAAAATGAACCCCCGACTAAAAAAAAAAAAAAAAAAAAAAAAAAAAAAAAATAAAAGAATAAGAAAAAATATTGAAGCCCAAACTCTGCAGCAGAAAATTAAAGCAATAAGTATTTGAGCTATTTCTATTATGAGGCACTCTGGACATTTCTCAAACTCAGCAAGAAAGTAACTCAGAAATCTTAACTACAAAACATGATAACATGACATTGCTTAAGGCACTACACCTAAGATGAGAATAAAAGAAAGAGGAAAAGGACATATCAAAATTGAAGATTGCACCAACTGTACGATAAGGGGACTCAAAGGGTACACAAGACCAAATCAAGGAAGGCTACTTAGAACAGTCAAAATCTGTACTAAATGTAACAGATGAAAAGAAACTAATGATATATATATATATAGTAACAAATACATATAAATGTGATGAGAAGTAATTGTATTATAGACTCGTCTTGTTCCTATCTACCCCCCCTAGTAACAGAACACTCTATATCTTATGCCTACGTACAATAAACTTTGACCAATTAAAACTGTATTAGGTGAATAAAGAAATTTCATTGGATAACGACAATGATCTAAAAGTTTCACGCGCAGAAATCGAAATTGCACCAAAACCTCTTTGAGCCAACTTTGGACCTTCGAAACATATATAAAGGAAAAACCAACTGACCAAAGCAGTCAGTGACAGCACCACAGAGAAATTGCCAACTTACTCCACGTCGTTCGAAACCAGATTTTGCCACACAAAAGCACATCAATGCTGACTCACTCACAATTCAACTCAACCAACTCTGTGGGCATTATTTCTCAGATATTGCTTATCTAAAGTGAATTACATTCACTATCTATTAAGTAAACATTTATGTGTGAACGACCTTAAAAATATTACAGTAAAAGGTAAATTACTTCTTAAGAACTTTCTGTTAAAAAGACACTTAATATTAACAACTTTAATATCAACATTAACGAACGATTACAAGAAAGACATTCTGAAACCTAAAACATCATACACATTTGCCAACATATACCTATTATTCTGCTTGTATATCATTTTGAATTGTATATAAATGTTTTATTAGTTTCTAATTAAATATGTCTTGTTCATAATATGAACTCTGGTACAAATATTTCCAAATCAAAGGGACACGACTCTGTCCTACCTTTTCATTGCATGCTTGTACATCAACCTAAATAAATCTAATCGTTACATTTTAAAACAATTCAGCTGAATTTTGTATTTTATTTTGATGTTAGTTGAAATAGTTAATTGACACGCAACCTATTCTCAACAAATATTACCACATAATTAACCCATCCACTACAGTATTAACACTTAAGACGACAAATCAAGAGAACAGTAGATAAATCAATGTAGATATGTAAGGGAAGCTTTAAGAGAAAAATTGAGTTTCTCTCAATAGTGGGGGAAAATTTTTTAAAAAATCAAAGCTATAAAATGAATTAAATAAATTTCCAGCTAAATAGGAAACAAGAACAGAAAATGTAATTGTAGCTTACCTATGGACGATAATGGATATAGCCCCATTCAAATAAATACAATAGTAAATACTGTATGTTGGTCTGCAGTTGGAGATTCATTGTGGAATTCACCTGACTCACTTCTGGCAGTTTACTACTTCTATGCACTGCTGGCGAATCTTATATGTGTTGTTCTTGTCCTAAGTATTATCATTCATTACCAACCTTCATTTTAGTTATTCTTATTCAGTAACCTTCCCTAGGTTACAACAGTAGTATAACAAGTGAATAAAGTAAGACAGCAGGAAAAAAATATAAGAAGACACATAACTGTGTGGAGAAAGGTGATCCACTGCAAACTGTCAAAAACAACTATTTTCACTATACAGATCAATGGTATTTTTTTCTTTTTTTTTAAATCAGTATAACCCCATGCAAAAAGATACAAGGTGTTATAGGGTGTGGAAGAATTAGGAACATAAACATTAATAATAAATGGGAAAAGAAAAGAGTAATCAGGTGGACAGTAGATAGAAATAGAGATTGATATTGCATTTAAATTTTGCATATTAAAGTTGGCTGGAAAGCATGGTGCCGAAAGGGAGTTCCACAAGTGAGAAATGCGAGAAAAGAATCTGTTAGCATAGAATTTACGGTTACATCTAGCCAGCTCAACTGTAAATTGATGAGATATTGATACCAATCTACTTACTGCACTTAAATTAAAAAATCTATGTACCATAGCAAAGAGCTTATCTGAATGATTAGCATGAAAGTATTTATAGAAAAAGCAGAGACAGACAATCTTCTGGTGGTAGGAAACTGACTGAAGCTGAGCTGCCAGGACCAATAATATATCTGAATCTATCACATAGAATGAAACACAGAATCTTCTGGAACACTGAGATTCAAATAGAGCATTCAATCCAGACCAAAATACCATTCTTAACAGTTATAAGCAAGAAAAATGTGTGAGAGAGTAAACTTTGCTGCTCCAGCAGACCACATAATAAATCTAAAGTGAAATGCTCAATAAATATATACACCTTGTCAGAGAGCTAAGGAAATTATAGAAGGTGGAGGTGACAGTCATACTATTTGTTATCGGAGCACTGAGAACAACCATAAAGGGTCCTAAGACTTCCTGGGGAAGTAGAAATCAGAGGAAGAATAGAAACCATTAAAATGACAGCAGTGTTGGAATCAGTCTGAGAGCACTATGGAGACTTGCTGTCACAGACTCCACTGAAATCTTACCAATCACAAATGGTGTGAAAACCTAAGTGAAAAATATAAGATGATGATCATGTTTGAACTAAATTTATTTATTTATTTTTTAAGCATTTCACCCCAAGCAAGGTGGGAAGCCACTAGGACGCAAGGGGTTACAGAAGATTTGGAGCAAGATCAGATAGGAGTGATAGAGGAAAGGATGAGGAGAAGGATAGTGGATAGATCAAGGCAACTGGAGATATCAATTGACATTACATTTGAATAGTTGGAGATTATAGCTCTCAGAGAAACTGGAATAGGGAAGGGAGTTCTACAGGCAAGAGGTGCGAGACATGAAGCTATTGGAGTAGAAGAGACGGCTACATTTAATAGTTTCAACAGTGAAAGGGTGAGAGCGGGATGCCAGCCTTGTAGGGCGCTTGAATTCATGAAGTCTGGGAACCAGCGAATGCAGCTCCTTGGAGCAATTACTATGAAAGTATTTGTAAAAAAGACAGAGAGAGGTGATGGCGCATCTGTGAGAGAGCGACTATAGCCGAGATGCCAGAACAGGGCATAAATCAGATTTGGGTTTCTTTAATATGTAAATCTGGTAAATAAAAACATTTGTTATATGCTGTTTGCCAAAATCAATTCCTATTGTTAATGTCAATGTTAATGTTAATGTTTGGGTCATGAATTGTGAAACAAGCAGATACTGCTCTTCAGCTAATTTTTTAGAATTCAAGAAAAATGATATAAATGTCCAAAGTGAAGAGGATTATTGATTTCTAATATTGTTAAATAAATATTGAAAATGTGCATTTAAGTGTAAGAAGCTTGCATTTTAAAAAATTTTCTGTTTACTAAGTATTGTGTTGACTGTTTTCATCATTGGAGTAGAAATAATTATTTAAAACTTCTAATATTAAATAAGCAAGAAAAAGGGTATGTTCATGTTTTAGAAGTTTACTTATTTCCTCAACAACAGTGTTTGTGTCCAGGTACACAAATTCTGTTAGTTGGTTGTTTTTGTTTAGTGGCATATCAACACCTCTATGGGTTATTTAATGCTGAAATCTAAATATTTTGCATGCAATTTTTTTTTGAGATAATAATGGTTTTAGTGATACAAGTCTTACTAATTAACCCATAGCTTGGGAAGACGAGGTGGATTCATACCTTCCCCAAGGTTATTTGCATGTAAGTGAATATAAAGAACCCAACTGGAATTGGAACTCTGCTATCTGATTAAAAATTCCAAGCCATTATCCATTACACCACCCAGTATTCACAAGTGGTCACCCATATAGGTATTGATCAGGCTCTGTTTTGCTTAATTTTGGTTATTGTACAGGAACAAGTGCTTCAACATAAGCCCACAGGAATTGTGATTTTCTCAGACAGAAAAATCATTGTCATACTTAAAAGCATGGTGTAGTACAACCTTCCTATTCTTATTTTTCTGCATTTGGTTTTGTCTCTGGAGTTTAGTAAAAATATCAATAAGTCTCAGAAATGCAAACAGTGGATTTGCATCCCTTTATCAGGTGTTTTGACCAACAATACAAGGCCACTCAAGTAAACGGTTACTGCTACCATGGTTAGGATGAATGAGGTGTGTGATATGATTACAGAAGAAGTGGTAAAGCTTATGCAGATAAGTACCATAGACAATGATTGGCCAGTAATGTTTAACCCTCGTGCCCGAAAAAAAAAAAAAAAACTGTGTCAAAAGGACACCTCTATTACTGTATACACTTTTGACTCCCTCAGCAATGTTTATTTAGAAGATTATAAAATATGTGAACCAAGTACAATGTGATATTTATTATTTACCTTTTATAAAGAAATAAATTTGAAAAAAAAAATATCAAAATATATAAACCAACTACAATGTAATATGTATTATTTACCATTTTATAAATAACGATGAAAACTAGTTTTTTTTATTCATTCTAATAGTCTTTAATATCTTTATTGTCAATTCTCAAGAATAAAGAAAATGTATAAATCCATTTTCACATCTTTGGATTTTATTAAAATTCTAATCATTTCATCACTCCAAGCAAAAAATAATATCATTAAGTGGCTACTGGGAGTGAAAGAGAATGATAAGACTTTAGAAGGAAACCCAATCCTAAACAGGATACAAAGGATAAACCACTACACTTATTCAAAAGACTCTTTATTTGAGTTACAAGTTTATTTTACTGAAAAACCTTGGTGAAATTCCTGACAAACATCATATTAACATGAGTCAATATAGTCATTTGGTAGTTTAGTTCTGTACCTGTCACTGGTGCTATGGGTTGGTGCTCA